CTCCAGCCCAGCGGCCGGCAGGGGCGGGCACCGGCTGGCACTGTCCCCACCCCACTCCCACGGCTCTGGTCCCCCGCTGAGGCTCCTGGACGCCAGGAACCTCCTGGGGGTGACCCTCAGCATGTCCGTCGGTCTGTCGGGCGTCCTGCAGTGTCCTCATGTCCATGCGCAGGCAGAGGCGTGGGAGCCCTCCTTTGCGTGGTGGAGATCTCCCGCGTGTGTGCGGGCCTCCCTGTGTCCACCCTGAGGCTGCCCCAGAGTCCCCACCACCCCGACCCTTGTCTCTTGGGCTCATCCCGATGGCTGGGGAGTGACTTTTACATTTTTAAAGGATCATAAAAAAATGATAGGAGATTGGGCCGGAGACTTACTTGGACTTCAGGCAAAGCCTAAAGAGTATTTCCTCGCAGGCCCCTGGCAGTTTGCTGACCCTTGGACTTGGTCATTGTTCTGGGAGCCTGGGTCCTCTGCTGAGCTGTGTGACTGCATGCTCCTGCACACCCTCTCTGAGCCTCCCAGGAGAGGCAGCGCTGCAGTCTCTCCTCTCCTGAGGAGAGCACGGAGGCTGTGCCCTGGCCTGTCCAGCAGGGCTCAGCCCCAAAGCATGCAGCGTCTCCCCTGGGGCTGCATCAGGGCACCGCCAGGCTGGAGACACCCTCAGACACGGGGCTCCCTCAGGCCGCGCCAAAGCCCCGTGGCGGTATTGGGGTGAAGACCAGGGTGGCCGCACGGCCCCTGTGGGCCCGTCCGCTGAGCTGAGCCATCCTCTGCCGGGGCCACACCTCTCTAGAAAGCCTGCTGTCCCCTTCCCAGCCAGGATGTCCCGGCCTGCTGGCGCCAGGGGACCTGGGTGACCTGGGTGACCTCGGTGCCCGGGGCCACCTCACTCTCCCTTCTCCCGTCTCCAGTCCAAGGAGTCGTCCTCTGTGCTGAGCTGTGACATCTCCAGGAACAACAAGTACATCGTGACCGGCTCGGGGGACAAGAAGGCCACCGTGTACGAGGTGGTCTACTGAGGACCTGGGGGCCCTCCGCTGGCGGCAGGCCACCTTCTTCCCGCTGGGGACGTGGGGGTTGGGCTTGGGGAAATAAAGGTTTCCATCCCTCGTCCTGTCCGCTTTCCTCCCCCGGGAGCCCACCGCTGGCCCCAGGGCTCTGTCGTGCAGGTGGGCGGAGGCCAGGGCAGGAGGACCGGGGAGGCTGGAGCTGGGAGGCTGAGGAATGAGCTGTCGGGGCTCTGCTCCCCGTCCCTGTCCCAGGGGATGTCAGGCAGAGGGAGGAGCTGCCTGCGCCTTCAGAGCTGTGGCCGGAGGTTCACGTCACCGCCCCAGGCCCCTGCCCACAGCAACATGGCACACCTGTCCCGTGTCACCAGCCCCCACTTACCACGACCAAGAACCAGAGACAGTCAGCTCAAAGAGGAAAGGTTTATTCTGGCTCATGGTTCTGGACATTTCAGCCTGTGGTCAGCTGGCCCCGTGGCCTTGGGCTGGGGGCAGCACATCATGGTGGCGGGAACATGTTGCAGGAAGCCTCTCGGCTCACGCTGACCGCAAAGCCAAGAGGAGGAGCCTGGGGTCCTGATGTTCCCTTCAAGGGCACGCCCCCATGACCTGAGAGGCCCGTGACGCCCCACCTTTTTTCCTGGGGCTGAAGATGAAACTTGGGGCATCGCCCACTCTACCCTGAGCCCTTTAATTTTGAGACGGTGCCTAGCTAAGTTGTCCGGGCGGGCCTCAAACTTGCAATCCTTCCGTCTCGGCCTCCCAAGCTGCTGGGATCCCAGGAGTGGCCAGTGCCCCAGCCAGTGGCCAGCTTGGGACCAGGCCTTGAGTGTCCCACACAGGCCCGTGTAGAGCAAGCTCATTCCTCTCCCTACAACAGAAGAGCTGGGGGTGGGTCATTTATAAAGAAGGGAGGTTTCTGTGGCCGTTTTGGAGACGGGAGTCCAGGTGGAGCGTGCAGGCGGCCATGGCGGACACACACCTGAGGGTGGCATTTCGTGGGGGATCGGGAGCCAGAGAACAATCCAGAGGTCCAGAGGGAGCCACTCCAACCCGCACCCCGACCTCTGGTGACCCGTTTCCCCGTGTGCACCCCTCCTCAGGGCCCCCCCACAGTGCCACATGGGGGCCGAGCCCCAGTGACACAGCCACACAGGGACTGCTGGGGGGGCCTACGCCTCCCAGAGCCCCGGGATCCTGGGCACCCAGCAGGTGACAGCAGGAGTGACAGAGCAGATGGCACTGGAGCACTCTGGGGGCTGCTGGAGACCTCGCGGGGCTCAGGGACGTCATGGGCTGAGGGAGCAGACCCCAGACAGGCCCCTCCCAGCCCGGGGAGAGCCCCGTGCACTCATGCCACCAGGGCACTCAGGGTGGTGCCCTGGCCACCTCCGAGTCCCAACAGCCACACTCCCCGGGAGACATTAGTACCCCCTGGGGCAGATGGCCCTGTCTGAGAGCCTCTGTCTCCTGGGACATGTCCTGGGACCTGCCAGAGGCAGCTGGAAACCGTTTTGGGGCTGCGAGGCCGGGCTGGGAGGCCGGGCTGGGAGGCCGGGCTGCGAGGCCGGGCTGCGAGGCCGGGCTGCGAGGCCGGGCTGCGAGGCCGGGCTGGCTCAGTGCAGGAGGGACCAGAGTCCCTGCTCCAACGGTGCCTGGACAGGGGCTGCACAGATCCCCCAGGTCTCGGTGACGCTGTGGGCACAGGGTGGGAGCCCTCGCTCCCCAGGGACAGGACGTGAACGTCTTTCCAGCTGCTTTATTCTGTGCAGTGAGGACCTGGGTCTGCGAGCCCCAGGCCCGGCCCCACCCACCACCACCACCACCACCACCACCACAGGGAACAGAAACGGGAACAGAAACGGGAACAGAAACGGGAACAGGAGCCCGTGCCAGGGGACGGCGAGGCCCTCAGTAGGTGACGAGGTACACCGAGGCCTGGGTCCCAGACCCCACCACGACCAGCCGGTTGTCAGCAGACACGTCACAGCACAGGACACAGGAGGGCTCGGGCACCTGGGGGGCGGCCAGCTGAGTGCCGGGCCCACTGCCCCAGGCCCTGCCTGGTAGGTCAGCTCGGTCCCTCTTGGATCCCCCAGGTGCCCAGTGGACCCCCCCGCCACCGCGTACCTGGAACACCAGGGCCCCCGTGGGCATGCTGTGGACGCTGACCAGGTCGTCCATCCCCACGCTCACCCACCACTGGCCTGCGAGGAAGCAGGGGCGCGGGTCACGGTGGGACAGCAACGGGGCAGGCGGGCCCGGGAGGCTGTGCCACGCAGGGCTGGGGCGTGTCACGGGAGGCCGGGGGCGGCCCCCGCCTCGCTGGCTGGCTGCTCACCGTAGGGGGAGAACTTGAGTCCGAGGACAGCGCTGTCCTTGCCGCCCACCCTGCGCGACTGGTGGCGGGTGCAGTGCTGCAGCCAGTGCTGGCCGTTGGCCAGGCCCAGCAGCAGCCAGTCCTCCTGGGGCCTGAGGGACAGGCTCATGATCTGGGGGTGGCGGGAGGCAGCCCTGTCAGTCCAGCCTGGCCCCGGCCCCCCACAGCTGCCCAGGCGGGGCCCTCGGCGGGGTCCCCAGACCCAGGGCCCTGCTCTAGGGCTCCGAGGCAGGACAGGCCCAGCCTGGGCACTGACAGGTGGGCACTCCGCAGAGCTGCGCCCCTGGCCCTTGGTGAGACCGAGTTGCCCAGGCTGGCCTTGAACTTGCTGTCCTCCTGCCTCAGCCTCCCGATTGTCCCCACCTGGACAACACTGCTGACCACCTGAGTCCTGGCGTGGCACTTGGGATCACTTGGACAAGTACCCTCCCCCGGCGGGGGCGGGGGCCGAGTGGCAGGGCGCTTGCCTCGCCCGTGTGAGGCCCTGGGTTCGAGTCTCAGCACCACGTATAAGTGAGTAAACTAAAGGAGCTGGGTCCAGCTGCAACGACACCACAGCACCCCTCCCCCGCCGCCAGCGGCCACCCCTCCCCCGCCCAGGACAGGGACGCTGCCAGGAGCCGCCCCGAGTGCACACCTGGGACTTGAACAGGAACACCCTGGGGTCCCGCAGGGTCCTCAGGTCCCACTGGCACAGCTGGCCGTCCAGGCCCCCCGTCCAGACGTCGTTGTCTTTGACCACGATGCTCTTGGCTCCGTTCAGCTGGCCCAAAATGTCCCTGTGGGAAGGGTCAGGCCGGGGTCAGGCCGGGGCTCGGGCTCCTGTCCCAGGAGATGCTCCAGCCTTTCTCAGTCACTCGTCTGATTCGCTCTGGGCACGGACGGGCAGTGCCACCCCCGAGTGCCCTTCACACTGCAGCTGAAGAAGGGACACAGGACGCTGTGGTCCCTGCGCTGTCTGTGCACCCTGGTTCTGATGGGCTGCAGGCACCCCTCACGGAGCCGCCGTGAGTGCTGGCCCAGAGGCCGCAGGCAGGTGGGCCCGCCGTGCGGGCAGCTGTGAGGCTCTACAGAGGCCGCGCCACAGGCTGGTGCAGCACCTGGTCCACCCAGGCTGGCACAAGCCACCACCACGCTGCTGAGGAAGCGTTTCTCGGCACGACCCCGGTGACACAGGACTGTCAGCTCACTGTTCGGTTTCACCCTTTAGGACTCTCTGCAGCCAGGGCCGGGCGCACACCTGGGATCCTAGCAACACGGGAGGCTGAGGTAGGAGGATTGCTATAGGAGGCCAGCCTCAGCAACTTGGTGAGGCCCTAAGTAACATAGCGAGATAATGTCTCAAAAAATGAGAAGCTGGGGTGTGGCTCAGTGGTAGAGCTCCTCTGGGTTCAGTCCCCAGCACAAAAAAGGACCCTCTGAGTCTGGACTGTCCCACCTGGCCCCAGTGGGGAAAGGGAAAAGCAGGGCCCTGGGGCTGCAGGCCAGCAGAGGCCGGCTCAGATCCGAGCTCAAGGAGGAAGAGACGGGGCTGGGCCGGGGCTGGGCCGGGGCTGGGGCTTGGCGGAGATGGGGGGCTTGCTGGAGGTGCTCCGTGGGAGGCCGGGCGCAGGCCCCTTCCCACCCTGGGGCCACACCTGACCACGTGCGGGGCCCGCGGGTCCCAGATCCTGACAGAGCCATCGGTGAAGCCCGCGAAGACCAAGCTCTCATCCGCTTTGGCGGCCAGGGCCTGGCAGGCGGCCTCTCGACAGGGCAGCTCCCCCTTCACGCGCAGGGAGGGCGCGGCCAGGTCCCACACACAGACGCTGCCCAGGTTGTGGCCTCCGGTGAGCAGCGTCCTGCTGTTGGAGGACAGCAGGCAGGTGCACAGGTAGGCGTCCGGGGCCTGGGGACAGTCAGAGCCGTCAGCCCGGGCAGGCAGCGGCCGGCACCCAGCGCCCCGGGCGGCCCTCACCTGCTTGTGCACGGGCAGGTGGCTGTCGGGGAACCTGTCCTGGGCCACCTGGCCGGCCAGGCTCCACACCTTGATGCCGCCCCTGCTGCAGGTGAACGCGTGCCTCGTGAAGCTGCTGACCGCCAGGGCCAGCACGGGCTCCCCGTGGCGCAGCAGGCGCATCCTCTGCAGCGTGTGCGGGAGCGCCAAGCGCCTGCTCTGGCGGGGCGGGGCGTCCGGCCGCCTCCAGGAGTCTCCAGAGTCCGAGGGGTCCCAGGATCTTGGGAGGAGCCTCGGGTGACCTGCCTGCCCGCGGCAGCTCCGCCCCAGGTGGCAACCGGTCTCACTCCCTGGCTCTGTGCCCCAACCCGGCCCGACGTCGGGCTCCTGTTCCTCCTCAGGCCCCAAGTCGCGTGCCCCTGCCTGCGGGCCACCCAGGACTGGGCCACCTGCACCCAGGCAGGACAGCCCGCCCTGCCCAGGACTGCCCGGCCACACTGGGAACAGGCAGTGACGTCTGTGCAGACGCCGCACACATTTTACCCCCCCAGGGTGGAGAGCTCAGCCCCGTGGCCCCCGGCCCCCGCCCCCTCCCACTGGGGACGTCGGAGGGACGGGCGCCCACCTGTTCCCGCAGCGCGGCACTTACATGAGCTTCAGAAGGGGGTAGGCTCCCGCAGCAGGCTCCTGCGGGGGACCAGAGCTCACTGTCCCCTGCCCTCCCACAGCCTGGGTGGACAGGGGCAGCCGGCCTGGTGCTCACCTGGGCCAGCTCGGCCAGTGCTGCCTCTTCCCCGCAGTCTTCCAGGGGGCTGAGAGGGGACTTGGCCCGGGCAGGAGCTAGCCAGAGGGAGGGCACGGCGCACCTGGCACACCTGGACGGGCAGGCGCCCTGCACCCCAGCCAGCGCCTCCTGCCCGCTGCCCACCGGGTCAGTGATGGCTGCCGTCTCCGTGTCAGGTGGCTCTAGGCCCTTGCTGTCCTGCCCGTGGGACATGGGAGAGCTGAGCCGAGCCCCAGGGATGCCCAGGCTCCTCGCGGGGCCCGTCCACGGCCAGGGTGGGGGCCTGTCCCAGAGGTGCACGGCTGCAGACACCCAGTGGCTCCGACACCACCCTCTGGTCCCTCCGGGGTCCCTGGCAGGTGGGAGAGGAGGTGGACTGACCAGAGCCAGGCCGCTGTCCCCACCACGTGCGTTTACTCACCAGGCCCCGAGCCTGCTCGGTCACTATGACAACGAAAGGGGGAGACGGAGAGATGGCTGCGGGCTCTGCCGGCCCTGGACACCGGCCAGCCGCCCCCGGGACACTCACCTCGGCGGCAGGGCTGAGCCGCCTTCTCCTGGACATCGGCAAAGATCCGCCAAAGCTGCGAGGTGAGGACGTCCTGCCAGAACGGGGGCTCCGGGTCCCAGAATGGTGGCATCTCACCCTCCTCGTCCCAGCTGGACTGGGGCGGCCGCAGCCAGTCGGACTGCCTTCCGGTGACCACGTCTTCGAAGTCCGACTCCTGTGGGCTCCCGCCCTCCGGGAGCTGGGGGGAGCTGGGGCTCAGGGCCTCCTGGTGGCCCTGGCCGGCGCGTTTCCCAGGGGAGAGTCGGCCCACCTGGGGCCACACGTATGGGGGCGTGAGACAGGGCCACCCCTGAGCCCAAGCCGTCCCTCCCTCCTGCAGGACCCGAGACCCACCTCCACGGGCTGGCCGTCCACCGCCTGGAGGAAGGCTTCCACCTGCGGGAGGGACGACAGGACCCTGACCCGCCAGCCAGCACCCCCGCGGGACCCGAGTGTGACCCTCGAGAGGCAGGTTGGGGGACCAGGAGCGGGGCCTGGCGTCAAGCAGGCTTTGGACACCTGTGACCCAGCTGTCCTCAAGGCCAGGCGGGGTCAGGCCTGGGGGTGAGACCCCCAGGACAGAAGAGCCTGACGTCATCCCGGGTGCATGGCCCCTTGTCCCCGACTCCAAGGTGACAGGCCCCACCGCCATGCAGTGAGGCCGCGAGAGGCCAACCCCTGGGCCGTGCGCACAGTCCTGGGCCACTTGGCCAGGACCCGAGTGCCCGAGAATGGTGTGGCCCACTCCCCGCGGACCTGGCGGACCTGCTCAGTGGCTCTGGGGTGGCCTGTCCTGAGGGAAGGCCAGTCCCCAGGGGCTGGGCCACCCCTGGCCCCACGTGCAGGTCCTCCTGCCACTCACATGTGGGTAAGGGGACAGCTGAGGCCGGGAGGCTGGCACCCTCCACAAGCCCTCGCCTGGCAGCTGCCCCGGGCAGCGGAGATGGACTCCCTGGCTGGGCCTCTGCAGAGCCCTGGGGAGCCCTCTGCAGCTCACCCGCTAGTTAACGCCATCACAGGCTCTTTAAGGCCCTCCCGCTGCGGCCTCCCGGGGCTGCCCAGCCCCACTCCACAGGAGGCCAGGCAGGAGTCCCGGGAGGGGCGGCATCAGCTGGGCTCTCCGGGGTCACCTCCACCCTGGACCTCCGCAGCCGCTGCAGGCCTCCCCCAGGCACCCACATCCCACTAAACCCCTGGACATCCAGCCTCTGCCCTGGCCCCCTGGCCCCAGCCTGGCCTCCCGCAGCAGCCAGAGGGTGCCCGCCAGCAGGGCCCAGCTCCCACCCCCCACTCCCACGTGCTGCGCCCACCTGCCAGGCTCCCGGGCTGCGCTCTGCCTGGAGCACCTTCCCAGCCAGCCTGCCTCCCTGTCACCCTGGAGCCCAGCCCAGGCCCGTCCTGCACCCCCAGCTGCTGCCCCCGCCCCGCGCCCTGCCCGGCCTCCCCTGGCCAGCAGCGATGCCCCTCCTGGTGCCTGGTCATATCTGGGAGCGGGGATGGATGACGTCTGTGAATAACCACGTTCTGCGGCTTCCTGTGCCCCCCACATGCCCAGCCCTGGCCCACTGCCAGGCACATCTGGCACCAGCAGAGTCCTGCTGGCCCCCGGGAGGAAGGGGCCAGGTGGCCGGGCAGGCTGAAGAGGCCCTGCACTGGCTGGCCAGGCACTCCCAGCTGGCGGGGTGGGGGGCAGGCGCCTCGGGCAGCCCCCAGACACACGGGAGACCCAACCTGGGGTCTGGCCTGCCCAGGTGGCCAGGGCTGCACGGGGACCCGGGAGCAGGCCACGAAGGACCGGCCAGCCCATGTGCTGGAAGCAGCTCAGGTGGGGTGGGACCTGGGGTCTCCAGATGTGGGAACCCCCTCGTCTCAAGGGGACCATGTGACCCAAGTCAGGGGGCACCTCCCCTGCCCCCAGCCCTCCACAGCTCACACGGCCCCAGGGCCAAGCCCAGGCCCTCCCCGAGGTCCACAGGCCCTGTCCAGCCCTCCCTGCTCTGCCTCCCACTCCCGCCCTTTCAAAGCGGGGCAGTGACACCCGGATTCCCGAGTCCCACTCACCTGCCTGTGGTGTTCTTGAAGATCCTGCTGGACTTCAGTGAGCTGCAAAGAGCAGGAACCACACTGGGAGAGGGCGCGTGGGAGCAGGCGACACTTGGGTTTGAATGCTGTGTGACCTGGGCAACCTGCTCTACCTCTCTGGTTCTTACCCTTAAATGGCACAACATCTACCACACTGATGGCTACCGGAGGAATTCTGGATTTCATTCCCAGCCACCTGAAGGTCACCTCCTCCCCACAGCCCAGGCCTGTTCCATCCGCCCACCCTCTTCGCTCTGCCTGCTCAGCCAGGTATGGGAGCCCCAGGGCCTCTGTAGGACACCCTTCCCTCTACACTCCAGAATAAGCGCTTTTGTGGGGTGTGGGGATACTCAGGATTGAACCTGCCATCCTCCTGCCTCAGCCTCCACAGCAGCTGGGTGGAGGGTGTGGCCCCTGCACCTGGCTGAACTCTCCTCTTGGCCATTTTCCCTCCCGAGCATGGGTGCTGCCGCGGAGCCCAGGTGCCTGGCAGCACTCCACCGAGCTACCCCCAGCCCCAGGAGCCCTTCCTGACCGCCTGGCCTCAGAAGGACCCTCTGCAGATTCCCTGGGCAGCTGGACTGCCCCACGGTGTGTCACCTCCTCTACGGCCCCTTGTCCACGGGGACAGCCACTGGTCCAGTGTGGCCACAGAGGCTAAGTCAAACTGAAATGTTCTGCTCCCCAGGTGCACGAGCTGCATTTAAGGGCTTAGTGGCTGGCGGGGGCTGGGGATGCAGAACATTCCTCCGGAAGCAGGGGAGGGCTCCTGGTACTGCATCCTGACCCACCCACTGGGGCGGGAGCTGGACACTAACAGCCAGGTATCCCGCAGGTCCAGCACGGTGTCACTTTAGAAGCTCCCACTGACAGCCGGGGGCCCAGGTGAGCAAGCCCCCCCCCAGTGTCCCCAAGGCAGGCAGCTGAGCTGGGTGTGGCCGGTCCAGGGGGAGGCAGGTGGGTGGGACAGCTCTGCTCACCAGGTGGAAGATGCTCTCCAGCTGGGTGCTCACTCGAAGCTGCAGCCTGGGGGGAGGGGCACTGCTGGACACACCCAGACCCCTCCTCGGCCCCGGGGCAGGACCGGCCTCTCCCCCCAGCCAACCCCAAGCTGCAGTGAGAAGCCCTGTCCAAGGAACTCTGCTGCCAGCCACGGCCCACCCTGCCTCCCAGGAGAGGTCCACGCAGTCCTGCCCCAAACCCAGCGACTGGGCCGAGGGTCATAAACACAAGGCCAGCCTCAACCTAGTGAGACCCTATCTCAAAATAAGAAGAGGGCTGGGCAGGTGGCTCAGGGGCAGAGCCAGCCTGGGCTCAATCCCTGGTATCAAAAAAAAAAAAAAAAAAATCAGAGAAATGCACATTTCTAACGAAGCCCGCGGCGGGCCCTGAGGCTGAGGCCAAGGACCACTCAACAGGGCCACAGGGCAGGGGTTGGGGGCAGACCGTGGACGACTCCCTCCGAGTGACCCTCACCTGGGGAGCTGGTCCTTGAGCTGGCCTAGGGTCTGGGCACCACTTAGGGTGGGCGGGCTCTCAGGGTCAGAAATTCCTGGGCCAGGCTGGAAAAACCCCAGGAGGGGTGAATAAAGGCAGCAGCCCCTCCCAGACACCCAAGGCCCCCTGAAGTCCCCTAAAACCTAAGGTTCCTCAGTTTGCAAGGACAGATTCCATCTCCACCCCCATAAGGTGCCACTGGTAAAAGACCACGTTCCGTGGTTTTTGTCACCGTGTAGCTGTGGTTCTATCTTGGTGATCGTTCGCCAGCATCATGAACCTCTTACTGCGCCTCATTTATGAACCAGACTTTTCCCTTTCTGCAGTGCTAGGACTTGAACCCCACCCCACCCCACCCCGCCGCCCAGCGGGCTCTGGAAGTGGCCGGCTGGAGGCTCCGCCAGCTCCCGTTTCACCGCCTGTGATTGAAAGCTGGCTGCAGCCTCCAGGGCCGGCGGCCCCTCCACACCTGCCCTGGGTAGGGAGCGGGAGGTCATTGCCTGCAGCTGCCAAGCCTGGCCCCAGCACAGGGGATCCCAAAGGAAAAAGGACCAGAGCCTGGGCCCCTGCCACCAGCCCTTCTCACCCCAGCTCCTCCGAGGGCGCCCTTGGGCTCGGGCTGGCCCGCAGAGGTCATCTTCAAGCTGTGGCTCCCAGGAATTTAGCCAGAGATTCTAGAAGGAGCAGGGAGAAGCCAGGTCAGAGCCACCCAGCCCCCGCCTTCCCCACGTCCAGTGCCTCGGGCTCCCCTGATTAAGGGTGACCCCCCCCCAGTGCGGGAGACAAGGCGGACTGTCAGGGATGGGGGAGCCCAGGGAGGTGGCCGAACTGAGCCAAGGCTTGGAAACAACTTTCTAAAGCGCAAGAGAAGGTCCTGGAAAGGGTTTTGAAGGCTGAGTAGGAGTCCGCCAGGTGCCTCAGGCGGACTTATCAGCTAGGGACAGGGACGTCCAGGCTCCCACCGCTTCAGCGGCAGTGGCGTCCCCCAGCGCCCCTCCAGCCCTCTCGGCGCGGGAACCCCATCCTCCTCCGGAAGCGGCTGCCCACGCACCTCCCGGGGGTGCGGAGGGCGGCGGGCAGAGCGGAAGCTGCAGGGGTCAGCCAAGTTCAGGCCCAGGAAGCGCCGCCTCCCGCGTCGCGCCTTTTGACCTCGCGCCCCCGCCCCGCCCCTCCGCGGGGAGCGGCCGCAGCTGCACGTGGGCTCGGGCTCATCCCGCGGCGCCCCCGAGGCGCTGGCCAATCACGAGGCCGCTTGCCCACGTGGGCTGCGCGCTCCGTCGCCGATTGGCCGCTCCGCTCTGGCCGTGGACCCGGCTGTCACTCAGCGAACCGCCGGCTCGGCTTAACCCTCGCGGTCCCGCTGGCCAGAAGGGCGGCGAGCGGGGCGCTGCAGGAAGTGAGGGGTCCCGGAGCACCGGCCTTTAGGGGGACACAGGGTGTGAGGATCCGAGCGTGGCGCTTGGACACGGGCTGGGTGACAACACAGCAGTGTGACTGGTCTGATATTCTTAGCTTTGTCCAAGAGTGACATCAGTTGGGGACCGGGAGGGTAGGACCTTTAGCACTTTCCCCCAGTCCTTAGATCCAGCCAGTGAAGTTTCTGTCAGTACTGAATAACGTGTGATAAATGGCCTCACGTCCCCTTCCCAGAGAGAACCAAGCCTCCCCCAGCCCCAGCTCCTGTGAGCCAGGCTGCATTTTATCAGGAGATTCCCTGCTGCCCTCCCCGTGGGCAAGGATCCAGTGCCCAGGGCTGGAACAGCCCAGGGCCTGAGGCTGGTGCACCACAGCCAAGTTCAAGACCCGGTGGGGAAGCGTGGGTAGTGTGTGAACCTCCTGAGCAGGGAGCTTGCTAGAGAAGTAGGGAGGCCAGAGAGAGGCCTGCCACGACTTCAGAGAGAAAGGAGGGAGGCTGGGGGCAGGGTGCAAAGGCCTCCTGGGGGTGTGTGTGTGTGTGTCTGTCTATGGATGGGATCCTGTAGTAGGAGGATCCAAGAGTCGTGTTATGGCTCCAATTCCAAACATGAAGTGCTCTGTGCAGAGTTCTGGGGTGAGAGGCTGTGTCAGCAGCTCTGCTGTCTGTGCTGTGGAGCTGGGGGCGCAGCCCCCCACCCTCCAGGCTCTGGTGTAAGCACAGGACGACTGGGTCTGCCAGGCTTGGGAGGAGGAGGTGTGGCCACGGGAGGCTCCGCCCACTGTCCTACAACAGGCCCGTTTTGTTCAGGATCCAGCCTGCTGGTGGCTCCCTCTCTGCCTTGCTCTTCCCTGGGGTCCCTGGCTCTGGACATCCCGTCTTGGGCACATCTGTTTATCTAAGACTGTGTTGTTTCCTGTGTTGTCCCCTAAGCAGTGGCTAGTTCAATTTAAGCGAATTAAAATTAAAATGTGCCAGGCTCGGTGGTGCATGCCTGTCATCTCAGTGACTCTGGAGGCTGAGCCATGAGGATGGCAAGTCGGAGGACAGTCTCAGTCTTAGTGAGGTCCTGTCTCAAAATCAAAAATTACAAGGGCTGGGGGTGTGGCTCAGGGCTAGAGCCTTGCTCAGCCCTGGGCTGCATCCCCAGCACCTCCGTGGATAAATACGATGTGAGATCCCGGATCCCAGGTGCTCCAGCTGCAATCCAATGCCCAATAGCCACTGAGTGACCCCTTCAGAACCCTGGCGCAGCAGGGGGGTCAGTCCCCTCCCCTGCCCCAGAGCAGGGCTTGGTGGGAAGAGCGGGGCGGCAGCTGCTGGGGTGCTGGCCGGGCTGTCCGTGCTGCGTTGGTGTCCGGCTGCCATACCAGCTGGGCGGGGGGGGGGGCACCAGAAAGGCCTCCTGGGGTCCCTCCACAGGCTCCAGGGGGCATCCCGCCTCCCCCAGGGTCTAGTGAGGGGCAGCAACAGTGAGACCCTGTCTCAAAAAATAAAAGATAAAAGGGCTGGGAGGGGGCTCAGTGGTGAAGCCCCCTCAGGTTCAAGCCCAGGACCAGAAAGAGAGCGTGGTTACTCAGCGACCTGTTCCGCCGGCCAGCTGGCCAGGTCTGCGGGACACCGGGTGAGCAGTCCTGGAGGAAACACAGGCATTCCTCACTGAAAAGGACAGTCTTAAGGAGCCACCCACGCCACCCTGGCCTGGCCTGGCCCCTCCCACCTGGCCTGG